GAGAAGGATCTTGTCAATGCCAAAGAGGAGCTGGAGCTAATGGCAAGGAAGGAAAGGGAAAGCAGGGTGAGCTTGTGCTGGAGCCTGTACTGATCTCCTTTGCTTTTGGGAGGCCTTAGGTCTGTGCCTCACTGGAGGTTTTGGACCCTACTGTTGTGAGGGTACTCCCAGTGAGAGAAATGGGGCAGGGGGATGTTGGTTTTCAGAAGTCTCTGACGTGCCTCTCTTCCCTCTGCAGCGGGAGCTCACTGCTCTCCAGTCTGTCGTGGCCACACAGGAGGAGGAGCTGCAGGTGCAGGCCTCGGATATCGAGTCCTTGACCAGAACCATCCAGATGAAAGAGGACCTCATCAAGGTGAGATGCTGTGCTAGGCTGGGTGAGGGTGAGTTCCACCTGGGGAGGCTGCAGAGGAGTCTCTTTGTCCCCCACATCCTCAGAGCAGTGTGGCTGGCTGGCTGTGGTTGCTGTTGCCTACAGCTCTCTGAGTTCCTTTGGCAAACCCCCAGACTCTTCTTACTTGGAGTTCTGCTCTTTCTGTACCAAACACTCTCCTTCAAGTCCTTTAATCAGAATGCACCCTTCTTGTGTCCCTCCTTGGTTCTTACTGAGCACTGTGGTCTATGCCTAATCCATGCTTGGTGCTTTGGCATTTTTTTCTTGGAAGACCTGGATCTTTCCAAACACTGGAAACTTCTGGCAGTTGCATTCCAGGGAGGTTTGTGAAGGTCCAGCTGTCTTTGTTACTGATCCTTTCCTCACTGAGCTCTCCTGCTGTTTGCTGGGTTTCAGGATCTGCAGATGCAGCTGGTGGATCCTGAAGAAATTCCAGCCATGGAAAGGCTGACACAAGAGGTGCTGATGCTTCGGGAGAAAGTGGCCGTAGCAGAGTCCCAGGGAGAGGAGGCTACTGGAAACAGAAGGCAGCAGGTAGTGTGCCAGTGAGGCAGACTTGGATGTGTTTGTCTTTCTGCTGGTGCTCAGGTGTGGGGCTTTGTTTTCAGCCTTTGGATACGCCAGGATGTGCTTGTTCTTGGAAGCTGGTTGTGGGAATACAGAGGAGAAGTTCTCTTTAGCACTTGCCCAAAGGGCAGAGTCTTTTGGGAGTCCAGGGATGACATTGGACACAAGGAAGAGAGGAAAGGGAACCCCCAGTTTTTCAGGGACAGCTAGATACCTCCTCTTGATTTCTGTCTGTGTTTAAGAGCTGCACCTTGTGTCTTCTCTCCAAGCAGTTGTTACTGATGCTGGAAGGGCTGGTGGCTGAGAGGAATCGGTTAAATGAGGCTCTCCAGGCAGAGAGGCAGCTCTATGGCAGCCTGGTGAAGTTTCACACCCACCCAGACACGTAAGTGAGGCTGCCTGGGCTCTGTGCTGCCCTGCTCTGCTGCCAGGGCAGGCGTGGCTGGTCCATGGGGCAGTCCCTGAAGCAGGGATCATTCTGCAGGTCTGAGAGTTTTCAGTGGGGGAAGAGGGGGTCTAGGCAAAGGATCAGCCAAATGCTGCTTTGAGAGTCCAAGTTTCAGGCTGCCTTTTTCCCTCAAAGAGGCTGCAGTGGCCAGCTTTAATGGCTCCCTAAACTCCCCCTATTTACCATGGGATTTCCATCTCTGGTCCTTAGCTTATCTTTTCCCAACTCAGTTTCCCACCCACTCTTGGCCATCTTTCAGAGGCTGCTGTCAAATTCTCAGCCAACTGTTGGGTTGATAAGGATCCCTCTAGGTGCTTATCCAGGCAGTTGCCTGTCCCCTGATTTAATCCCCTGCCCTTCACAGGGCTGCAGCCTCTGGGATATTTGAGCTACCTGATAGCAAGGGAGCACATAAGTGGAGTGCTTGGGAAAGCACTGCAGAACAGCTGTGACTCTGAGGCCCCTGCCATGGTCAGGGGCCTTTTTTGGGGGTGGCTGTGCTTGGAGGTGAGGCAGGAGGTGCCTGGGGAGCCCCCGGGGCTGTGCCCGGCTCGGTGTCCCCGAGGGCTGGAGCACGCAGCCTGTCTAACCCTGTTCCCTCCTGTGCCGCCTGTCGCTCAGCTCTGCGAGAGACCACGCCCTGCAGGTGGAGCTGGAAGGGGTCCACGAGCTGCGGGGACAGCTGGAAGAAGCTCTTGGAAGAAGCTTGGAGTGTTTGAGCAGGCTGGAGACGCAGGGCGCCATAGGAGGTGGGGAACAGGGGCGTGTGAGAGTCCTACCCCAGCATGCCTTCTGAGCACTGGCGCTCGCCCGCCCGCCACGGAAACGGTTCACTAACCCGTCTCACTGACTCTGAGCTTTGGT